CAATACATTCATTTATCACAACTAATCCTGATTAAGAGATTCAAATTTGCAAATCCTAGAATTCACCAATTTCTGAATATGATGCGTCGTCCACCATTTTGGAATAGATCTATATATTCAATTCAATTATAACTATTTTTTTTCAATATTTAATAAAAGTTATATGTATATTTTCAATACATTCATTTATCATAACTAATCCTGATTAAGAGATTCAAATTTGTAAATTCTAGAATTCACCAATTTCTAAATACGATGCGTCGTCCACCATTTTGAAATAGATCTATGTATTAGAATTCAATTGTAACTATTTTTTTCAATATTTGGTAAAATTTATACGTATTTTTTCAACACATTCATTGTCACACAAATATCTGGGATAAATTAATTCCGATCAAAGATGGATTCGAATTTGCAAATTCTAATATTCACAAATTTCTGAATACATCCTCATTTTGGAATGAATCTGTTTGCTGGAATATGAGGAATTATCAAAAGGTGTAATATAATCTTCTTTCAATACATTTATTTACGCGTCATATCAATAATTCACTATAACTATTTTAAAAGAATCTTTTTTTTTATCATTTATCAAGAATTTTCTTTTAACTCGGTTACTTTTCTTAAAGTTACTTCTTTAGAAAATGATAGGTTTATACAGATTATCGAAGAGACATCGTACAGTAATATAGCTTAACTTTTTAAGTTGAGCTAAATCTCTTTAAAAACGCACTCTCGTTGTCACGAGGCATCAGATTCCGCTTGACTTTTTCGAGAAATTTCGCTTATCCGCAAACTTCCTTCGGGTTTCTCTTTTTTAAAACTTCAACCCGTTCCTCAAGATCGTGGATGATCCTCCGTGTAAAAGCCCGGCCTGTGAAGCGGTTGAAGATTAGCTGGTTTATCTCTTGCTCTCGCCTTTCATTCTTTTTCAAGCCGGAGTCTCGCGGTTGGCTTAAGTTCCACAGATCCACGGATTTCCATCGATTTTTGACACTTTCGTTTCGTTCCTCGCCACGTCTCGCCCTACGTTTCCCCGGGAAGATGATCCGCTTGACTTACTGACCGACCTTTCGAAAGATCGCCAACACGATATTTCCTCCCCTCCTCCCCTCTCCCTCTTCACATTCAATTCAAACTAATGATTCAAGTTTACGAATTTTTATTAGAAATCCGTGTATTTTTAATTTGTGTATATTTAATTTCAAGAAAAGTAAGGGGGTAAAACAAAAATTCCTTAATATCTCGTAATACATTGCCACGAGGGATTTTGACGCGAATAAATCGAAGAAAAGAGGTTGAACGGAAATAAGGTATTATGTTTCATGTTCTCTTTCACTCTTCTCTCGCTTCCATATAGCCAAGAAATTTCAAGTGTCGGTTATCTTCGGGCCTGGAAACTTGCTTCTATCCTATTTTTAACGATCGAGCTGCGAAAGGAGCGAGCGTAGCGAATGAAGGGTAGCACGGCCGCTCATTACGTGATGATTAGAATAGTGGGGCGTAGATTTGGAAGATTGGCCGGCTCAGCTCCATGACGCCCGACTTCCAACGGCGTGTTCCAACCTTCCCCCCTCCCGGTCAGTCCCCCGGTGGCCGTTTTTCCACGGTGCAGGAAAATCAGTTTTCCGGAGCGCACGACCGCGTCTGCGCTCTCCCCATTATTTCATCCCCTTGTCACGCAGCCGCCTTGTCACGGGGCCTGATGCGACGTGCAGGTAACCGGTGGAGGGCCAACAAACGAGTCTATTTGCTCAACAAAGCGGGCTGCCGAAGTCCGGATTGCTTTCTGTTTCGCGCACGGTCACGACTCTCCACGATCACGTGTCACGGAGAGGTTTGGAAACACCTTCAGATCGTCTTCAGATCGATCAAACTGTCGTCTATTTTTCGTTCCCTCGCTCATCACGAATGCAAAACGAACGTCTCAAATTTTTGATAAGCGCGAAAGTTGCGTCATTTTTGCATCACACTTAGGATGATATATATTCGTAGGAATAAAATTATCAGTAATTCAAGACGGAGATGAAACTATCTCGCTCTTCAGCATTATTTCAGCATTATTAAAAAAATTCGTAAAATCAATTTCGAAAAATTGTTCGTAGTGATAATTTGGTTAATGCGAATGAAGAAAGAGGAATGTAAATTGGATGGATTGTGCGAGAAGGAGGAAACGTGAGGCTGCGCGAAAGGTGACGCCGAGGGAAAAGGCACGTGACAAACGTGAAAAAAAAAAGGGACAACGGCGAGAAGGACGGTGGCATTCGTTTGGTGCCCGGAGAGGAGGCATCCATAGAAGCCGAAAGAAACATTTTTCGGCTCGCTACGATATCTTTATACCCCGGTACGGGCTGCTCGACTCCCCATCGTGAAAACGTCGTCACCCCATGGCGATCCATAGATTTAGTCGTATCCTCGCTTGCGCCCACCTTCGCGGTACTTTTCGTACTTTTCATGATTTCCCTAGCGTGGGCTACGAACGTCTCGCGATCAGATCAAATGGTAATAAATTTGGGAAACGTTATTCTCTCCTAGAAAATAATTTTTCACATCGATAAAAAATTATTTTTTACCGAGTTGCGAACAACTTGATGTGCGATAATTTCAACTAAAATTTTATTTGCAAACGATCCTTTTCTTAGAAACTATATGTCTTATATTATTGCCATTTTCAATTAGGTTAGGACTAGGTTTTCGAAATAATTTTTGTTTTTAAAATTTTATTTTGTTTCCAATCTCTTCTGAAAAATGCAAATTGTCGAATACAATTTTCAAATTATTTATCTTAAACGATATATATATATATGAAGTATATTGGAACAATTTTCAGACAAACGGAGTTTCAAAATTTATTTTGAGCGTTCGAAGCCATCGCTACTTGAAAATTTCGAGGCAGATTCGGCGAGCGTATCAAATCTTGGTCCCAGAACGTTCATTACTTCATTATCGTAGAAGAAATTTCCATTCGTTACAGTTTGAAAAATCGGATGGCTCGTTATTTTTTCTGCGAATTCGGGAAATTCGGCGTGTCGTCGACCATCAGTTTACAATGATTTCGTTCTTTGAAATGAAGATAGTTCGGAAAAAAGAAAAAGAAAAG